GCTTGAAGATAATGCAAGGCCATATTTTTAAAGTATTTGACTGGAGCTTTCAGCAGAATAATGATCCTGAGCACACCAGCAACCAAGCTACAACAAGAAACATTTTTGAATCACACTGAAATGTTGTGGGATATTTAAAACCTTTAGTACATGCAAGAAAAGAAAAAAAAAGGGAAGGAGGAATGGCTGAAGATGTCAAAGTCAAAGGTCATATTAGAGATCTATAAGATAGTATGTTTGTTAAAGGGCCTGTCTCTTGATTTTATTTATTTATTAATCAAATATTCCTTTTGGTGTACCGACAGTAACAAAGTGGACTGGCTGTTTGTTTGTGCAGTTTCCATGATGTGATGACTTTTCCCATGTTACTTTACAACTTAAAGGAGCGGCACCCTACCCGCATTTTTTTTTGTTTTATGCCAGGTAATGTTTTATCACATGTTCAGTGAAGCACATAGTCGGCCAATTGCATGTTCAGCACAAAAAAATAAAAATAAAAATGCCTGCCTAAACAGAAACAAAAACACCATTTAGTAATTTAGAACAGGTTATATACATGTTCCTTTTTCTGAAACATTTCTGTACATCCCTACCTAAATAAAACTACTGGCTGGTTGATAAGGAAGAAAATTATTTGGCAGAGTCCCATTCTATCTGCCCTCCAGTTAAACTGCTTTCCTTCTTGTTGCTTCCAGGCAATATGGGGCCTCTGAGGTTGGAATGTCATCCAGATAGGGTCACAACTCATAACTGTGTACTTCCTCAGAATTGTTAGCAGGTCTGATCCGTTTTCCAGCGAAGATTAACCCATATAACAGAATTCCAGTCCAGAGCTGAACAAGGAAGTAATGGTTAGAACAAGCAATAGATTTTTTTGTTGCAAGAGAAATGTGAAACGGAAGAGGAGAATGTCATTGCCTTCAATATACGGCACTGTGCAAAAGTCTTGAGAAATCCATCATTTCTTTATGAGCAATGCTTTAGTGAAACTTGCAAACATTCATGGAAATACCGGAAAACTGGACAGTAAGGTAAAAACTACACCTGTAGATCAATACTACAGGTGTAGTAGTATTGACTTGTAAACCTACAATAATTTGAACCAGCCAATCTGTGAGAGACACATGGAACTGTTCACTCTGGTGGCTCAGAGACACTGCCCAGTGTTATATAAACAACACAGAAAAAGGTGATCTGCAGTGTGTCCAGCTGACATCAGCAGCAGAAGCTTGAAAGTCAATATTTGGTGTGATCAGTTTTATTCTTCAGCACAGTCTGAACTCTCTTAGGCAAGCTTTCTTGTCATTTCTCCATGCTTTCTGAAGAACATTCAAAGCTTTTCTTTTGATGTTGGCTACCTTTTGTTTCCTTCTAGGTAGATGTTCCCACACTGCTTCAGTAATGTTGAGGTCCGAGCTCTGGGGAAGCCAATCCATGGCTCATATTGTTTCACTGTGTGTGTTTCTATTGAGGTATGCTTTTACTGCATTGGATGTGTGTTTGGGACCATTGTCATGCTAAAAAAAACATATTTTTCTATGTACAGAATTCCATTAATTTTGACAAGATCTCAAACCATGACAGAGCTGAGAAGACATTCACTGTAGTACCTCATTCCCGACCTCCCTGATACATGCTGCAGATGATATGAGCCAACAATTTCTCATTTGGATTCATCACACCATGGCTTTTTGAAAGCACCCTTCCACTGAGGCCACTTTCTGATGAGGCTGCAGTGAACAGTAGATGGATCAACTGAAGAACCAGTGAAAACATTGTTCTGTTTTCATTTCCCTAAGGACATGACTTTTGCATCTACTGTATAGAAATTGTTTTTAGACCTGACACTTTTTCTTTTGTCATATGCTTCTCTAGTTACCTCAAATTTTTTAGAGACAGTTGTAGAGACTCATACTCTGACTATAATAGGCCATTGAAAATCTCCTTTCTGTCCCGGCTAACAGATGGATCCAAGTGCAGACAAACACGGTAGGTTCAACGTTCCAGCACCGACTACTCTGTGCCGCAGCGTTAAATAGTCCAGAGGGACGCTGCCTGATCAGCAACAGGTGTAGTAATCACTGCTGGCGGGTGGGCCAAGGGTGAGAGCCCACAATGAGCTCCACCCAGGCAAGCAGGAGAAAAAACAGAACAAACTTGTGGCCAACATGAGTAAGCCAGAGAGGCACAGGGACCATGACACTTTTTGGTGCATAAATCAACTATCGAATCAAAGTCGACTGAAAAAAATAGGAAAAGTATTATTTTTTGAAAGATTACTTGTAATAAAGTGAAGTTTAAAATTTGTTCTTTGCTAGGCTTTCTGTTATGTGTAGAAACAACAGTTGTTCATCCATTTAGTTGGGTAACTTTTTTATGCATGAAGGATTTCACAGATCAGTCTTAAGTGGCTTGAAAACAAAAAAAATGGTAAAAGGACTGGACAGAAAATGACTGAAATAGTAATGTCCAAAGAAAAACTTTGAAGCACCTTCAGAAAGCCTGGAGAATTATTTCTCATGGTCATTTTAAACAGTATTTTTTATTTTGATGAGCATCTAGTTTTTTTTTAATTTTACAAATCTTAAATTCACAAAGTAAATTTTTATTTATTAGGTTTTTTGTTTTGCTTTGTTTTGTTTTTTAGAGCTCTTCTTCAGTTGATCATATTGAGCATTATTGTTCTTTGCTTCCCACCATGGTATGTTAAATCCAAACACAGCGTTGAAAGCTCTGACTTAAAATAAAAGTCATGCAATCATGGTTTTAATTTAAAATACAATCAGTAGTTATGTATAAGCGTGTGGTCATGTCTATACAGTGGAATTACATGCAGAGTTATTTATGCATAAAAGTTTTAGAAACATCCAGTAAATATAGTGATTCCATTTCAATTAAACAAAAATGCTTATGGAAATGAATTCGAGAGTTGCAGTGTGTAGGTCACTGGGTTTGAATGCCTTGGGATTTTGAAGAGGGGAACAATGGTATGAAACATGATAACAGTAAGGCAGAGGGAACAAAGAATGGTTGCTAATTGGTCTGCACAAACCCAGTGAATATGCCACTTGAAAAAAGCCATGCTGTTTTGTAAGTGTGCTACTGTTTGTCCATTCATGTATCCCCACCCCAATATTAAGGGCTCCTTTAATATTGTCTTAAGGATGATGAAACCCATAGTTGTGCTTCGTTTTCCACATTTTGCCATTGCTTCAACTTCTCCAGAATCCTTGGGCAAGATGCTAACCTCAAGTTATGCTGAGTTATGCTTATGAAGCGCCTTGAGGCGACTTATGTTGTGATTTGGCGCTATATAAATAAAATTGAATTGAATTGAATTGAAGTTGCACTCAGATGGATACATATTTGTGTGACAGAAAGCCCTTACATAGAAAGAGCATAGAAAAAAGTGCTGGTGTGAGTGGCTGAATGAGGTAAAGTGCTTTGAGTGCTCTGATAGAGTAGAAAAGCTCTATATAAGAACCAGTCCATTTACCATAGCTATAATCTGAAAGCTCAAAATACTCTTAAAAGTTCAACTGAACAATTTAATCGTGACTATAGTTCTACCAAACTATGTGAAAGACTTCCATGCATTGTACCTCATTATCATTGAATCACTTGCACCGTCTGGTTTGTGTTTTAGCCTGGTGATTCTTCCTACTGTGCATCATAGCTAACAAATTGTGAAATTCCATTCTTAACAGTAACAGAAACAAGCCTCTACTGGGTGTGGAATACAAGTCTGGACAAGAGCTCACCCACACACGCTGAGTAATTCATGACGAATGTCACAACTTCACGAATGCGCCAGAACACCTGAGGCAATAGTCTTGCTGTGACGCATGCATCAATTTCCATCAGATACCAGCATATCACAAGTGCTATTATATACAGCACACACTGCCTGCAGGAAGGTGATATTCAGCTGAGATTGTAACAAAAATCTTCCTAGTGAAGTCAAAAATTGGATATTAAAACTATGAAACCAGGCCAACAATGTATTGCCTTGTTTTGTTAAAATGCCAGGCTTCTTCTGTGACATGGTTATGGAAGATAGAATGATAAGAAAGCAGTGATAAAAAATGATGTGTTGTCTCATGCATCTGTAGAACTGCACATAATGTATCATTTGTCTAACTGAGTCTTGAGCAGTTTCCAAGCCTCTCTTCTGTCATCAACAGATTTTTCCATTTCTGTGAAGGCTTTTTTACATGGTACCCAGAGTTTCACCTGAGTTTCCCTATTATTCAACTGCTGGTTGGATTGCATTACATAACACCCGAGCAATCAGTAATGATCCCTTGTATGTTTTTCTTTTCTCTTGCATGCTTCTAGCCTGCATTACCAGACATGGAGAGATGTAATCTTACACTCATACACTCCTTTCAAACAAAGGCAACAATGGCTAACTTTATTAGGCTTTTAACAGATTCAAATGTGTCAGAATAAGTTCCCGCGTGTATCTTTCTTGTTAAAAAAAAAGAAATCCACATGTCATACTTAAATGTAGGTCAATTTAAAAAAAAATTGCACCTACCCCTTTAGTGACAGGCTCAGGTCCTTGCAAGTATTTCATGCAAACTGTATTTTTCCATTTCTTATATAATCTTAGTAGGTTTATAGATTAGGATACTGATACTGTTTTGACATTTGGTGCATATGTTTGTGTAGCACTTTCTTTCAACTTTTTCTGGCCCCTGTTAAACACCACAGAAACATAACAGAAACACATGGACTACTACACACTAAAAAATGTTCTTGTTTTGCCTTCATGTGATACAGCCCTGCAATAAATGATAACCGAATCCCATCATGCAGCGCATTTGTTAGAACTTTCACTAGACAAGGAAAATCCTGAGCAGGAACTTTACATTGATGTAATTTTGACATGAGTGCTGTGCCTGAGGGAGAAAAAAACCGTGAGAAAGTGGATAAGGAAGAAGGCGTGTCAAAAGGTGTGTCTGAGCTCTTGTGTGTTTCTGTGACGCTAGCTTTTGTGCTGTTATGACCTGCTGCTGTATAAAAAGGCATGATTTATCTGGCTCAAAGTATCAGTTCACTGTGCAATATAGTTCCAGCTGGCTCTTAGTTACTTCCAATCCTTGATTTTAGCACCTTTCTCTATTATGAAGATGAGGAATCTTCTTTTGGGAGTTCTTCTGGGACTCCTTGCTGCTGTTCATTCAACACCTGTTAATAGTAAGTGGTATTTTTTTTAATAAGTATTGTAGTAAATTGTTTTTAGCAGAATTTTCAGCTTTTTTATTTCAATGTGGATTTGTCTTTGACAGTTAAACTGTAAAAACAACCACAACAAAGCTATTTATTAATTGATGATGAATGATGCTGTATAAAAAAGATTCCATCGCAAGATTTAGGAGCAAAGGGTGTTCTGTCTCAGACAAAGTAATTCCTTTATATCAACTGAAAGTTCACCACTTCCTGTCGAGCCTTTCTCTTTAGTCAGCACTCTCCTGCTACTACCTAAATTTCTCTTTATATTTGAAGTATGGCACTTCCTTAACGAGTCACATTTCATTGTTAGTGCACAGGTCTCATTGGCAGAGCTCAATTACACACAGAAGTCTTTGTGAAATGTTCTGTTCCAGGAGGTGCATTAATGAATTTGTCTTGAAACCAAAGATCAGCGAAGAGCTGTTACACATGTAATCTCATAGGGAACACCAGAGCTGAATGTGACTGGGCAGAAATGTAGAGTGGAGATGTGTGATTTGAGCTGAGCCGCTTTCTTTCATTCATCCCTCCTTTCTTTCTGTATAAATCTAAACTATACATAGTTTCATTGGTTTACTTACACTATTCCATCAGTGTATAAGTGGCATTTAACAACATAAAGCATTTTAAATATGGGCTACAAGGTTAAGGGGGACCTTTGGTAGTAGAACTGCTAACAACTCAATTCATGCTCCAAGATACTGCTAATGTAAGGTCTACTTGAAAAATACCAAGTAGTTGTAGATGTCAGGTAAATATAAGAATGAATTAACTTATAAAGTATCTTAAAATAGAAATATTTGAGGAAAGAAGCAATTAAATAAAAATTTAAATGTTTTCTATTCACCAGCAATTATAATGGTTTACCAGAAGATATGTGACTTCCTTCCTTTGTGACACAAAATCCTAACAATGGCTTAATACTTTTTGAAAGACAGAAAGCAGTTATGTTGGCCTGGTTTATTTGGCGTGGTATTAAAACTGATGCTTTGATGGAGCTGTCTCTCTTTTGTTAACACACTAATACACGAATAGTCACCTAGGTTAATTATTACTGTCTCTCACCACACCTTATCAAAGCGGGTCACATAACAAGCTAACACAAGACTTTGGGCTGAAGCAACATAAGCTCTGTGTGGTCCTTTTGTGTTTAACAAAGCTTGGTAACTTTCCTCCCTACTCATGTCAGAGCCAGTAGGTAAACACTTAAGATGATACATGGATTTTTTCCTTTTTCTTTGTCCTAGCTGTGACCCAGAACCCTGCCAACCCTGATGCAGGCTTTCTTGAGGATGCCATGACGGAGGGGTTCATTGTTGGTCCATCGCCTACGCTTACAACTGAAACACCCAAAATAAGTGCCACAGTTCAAGCATCACAGACACCGGTTTACAACTCTGAAGATATGACCGAAGGAAGTGCTGCTGGAAAGATCAGTGACATCTTAACAACGTCCATCTCACCGCATGAAACCACAACGCTGAATATTTCAAATGCTCAGAGCTCTGGATTCATAGAGAGTGCCGTGAATGATGGCAGTGGTTTAGGAGAGAACAGTGACGAATCACCGATCGCCTTCACACTCAATACCACAACAACGAATGCCACAAATGCGCCGACTTCTAACTCCACAGACAGTTACATGTTTGAGGGGAGTGCTGTCGAATCAACAATACCCATCGCACTTGATACCACAACAGCAACGCATGCTCCGACGTCAGACTTCACAGAGCATTACATATTAAAGAGGAGAGGTTCAGGATATACCTCACCTTCCCTCTTTAGCCATACCACCACAACATCAGTGACAAGTGAAGACCAGTCAATCAACACTTCAAACAACAACGTCCTCTCGCAAACTACTGATCCTACTGTCTCTACCAGTGACGTCACAACAAACCTGGATTCTGGTTCAGGGTCTGAACTGGTTTCTAAAAGCACCACTATGACATCTGGCTCGAGTGTAGAAACTAGCACTGTATCATCAATACTATCAAAACAAAATCGAAATATTCTGCATCAGGAGAACAATTTTAAAGGTAAATATTTTGTAATTAACAATAAGTACCCTTATGTTAAATTGTTGTGGTGTATATGGAGGGGTTTACAATTCTATTTTTATGTGCAATTAGCATCACAGACACAGACGCAGACGACAAACACTGAAACGACACACAAAGGACACGTTACACCTGGTGAGTCAAACAAAAACCACACTTCTGCACAATTAATACATGAATAACACTCATTCCACCTTTATAACACACCTCTCCCATATGACCAGATTGGATCATCATCCTTGGCTTTATCGTTGGTGTTGCAGCACTTGTAATACTCTGTGTTGCCATCGCAACCAGACACAAGTAAGACTCATATGTCAGAGAAACGAACAACATATCTGAGTAGATCTTCTCAAAGCACAGAATTTTAATTAATGTTTTTTATGTTGCAGGTGGAATGGACCAAACCAGGCAAATCTGACAGTGGCTTCAAATAACCTCTCGAACCAGAACAGGGAGCGAGAGATGGAGACTTTCCTGCCTAATGAGAAACCCAAGGAGAATGGACATTCAGGGGAGTACACTGTCATTCCCCTGGAAGATGTTCCAGAAAATGGTCCCTCATACTGAGATCCAGAAACAAACCCTCTGAAAAACAGAACCGTGAGACTGTGTTTCAAGCACAATAATTTAAAAGAGGAACAAAATTGTCCAAACTGCGGAGCAAGAGGGGATTTGTGGACTCTCACACCTCTGATTCCTGTCTGAATGACAACAATATGTCTTTTCTTTTTTTCCCCACTGACTTTGAAAAACTTTGATGACACCTTTATAGTTGCAGTAAATTTTGATTAGTCTATTTATTGCATTATTACATTTTTTTTCTTTCTTTTTTAATTTTTAAATTATGTGTTGGTCAGGTAAAGTGTGGTAATGTCATTTATTTCAAATGGAGCTAAACTCTCTACAGTGTTTTTTTCCCAGTTTTTCTTTGTAATTCATGTGGTTTCCTTTTTTCCAGCTGGCCTTTTCTTTTTTTTGTTTGTTAAAAGTGTCATTTGTTACAAAGCTATTTTCTGTAATAATCTTATTGAAGACTGTGTTGTGGACTGTAACTTATATTAAGCTGCTCTGTTGTTTTTTTTGTGGAATCTTGGAGTACTGAATGGTACTCAGGTCACTGAGTCTAGTTCCTCTTGAGAGCCTGCACAGCACTTCAGCAGTGGTAACATGCACTTACTGAACATTCATGTGCTGTACTGCATCCTGCCTCCTATGAGGAATAATCACAATGGTAGCTCATCAATAAACATTTATTTGCTTACAATAATCTTTACACACATGCATTGAAACATTTATACACTTTCGGTCCATTTTTCAGACGAATATTTTTGCTCTTGTGATGTGATGGTGAAGCACAAATCTCTTCACTCTTACTTCCATTTAGCCAGTCAGAGCTTAGCATGATGATGAATGTCAGACACAAGAAAATATTTAATGCATTCTCAGACAGACATGTGTACAGAATCCCAAACATAGATACAAAATAGGAGTTTAATCATCTAAAGATGGTACAAGTCTTACATCTTTATAGAAAACACTTGCTATGGTAGGCCAGTTGACTAATAACATATCATCAACTAAAACAATGACCAATAATAAATTAAAGAAATGGAGAAGCATAAAGAAAATCAGTGACAAATGACTGGCTTACTGCAGTCTTTCCCTTTAGAGATACCCATATTCTCACATACTGAAAAACCCTTATAAGCTTGCTCAGAACCCTTAAGCAACCAAATATGCAGTGGGTCAGTAACAATTTGTACCCACACTGACAAATAGTGGACTTTTTTCCCAGAAAACAATTTGCAATCTTTCTTAAAAACAAACACATGTAATGGGTTCTTTGTTAATGAATAACCCTAAGGTCACAACCTATTGAGATAACTAATGGCCCGTTAAATAAATGAATTAGCATTGTTCTAGCATAACTGCAAAGTTGTATATCATTATGGTCATTATATAAATTTTGTTAATAGCAAAAACCATTATGATGACAAAAATATCAAGTCTATACATTTGATTTGTACACTTTTTACCTAAAGAGAGTATATACACAAAGTGCAAGCAGGCACTTTTATTTATATATATATATTTATATAAGCTTCTGCTTATATGAAAAAGAAATGAATAATCCAGTTTCATCTAGTTTTGAACACCAGAGTGAAACTCACAAACATGTACATACTGAGCCAACATCCAATGACCTTGTTGTTACAGCGTCAGATTTATGCGAGTGCTGGAGGCAGAATTTAGTGTGCACTTGCTAAACAGACGTGACCATAGCTAATTAACTGTAGGTGTAATTACAAGCTTGTTATTTCTATCTAAATCTGTTTTGTAGATGCTACAAAACCTTGTGAAGAAGGCCCAGCCATCCTCACTCACAAAACTTCTGTTACTCTTTTCTATTCTAGCGCGACAATCCATACTAGCTTTCATCCAGAAATGCTTCAGTGATCATGATCATACTAACTGCACTCTGCAGGTGACATCATCAAGGCAAGGTTGTCATATAGTAAAGAAATAAACGGTTTGAAATAAAACACTGGACAATGCACTGGTCTGTTGAGAGTTTGAGAGACATCCCCACTTCTTCTCATTAAACCTCCAGTTTTTTGTTCCTTTTCTTTTCGTTAATCTCCCCCACTCTCTGTCAGAAACACACTCGTACACACATGATTTCTAGGACACAGCAGACTTTTGGTTATTAACAGAAACCCAGTTATCCATACATTAAGGACATACATACAAAAAACAAAGAAACAAACATATGGATAAATAACTGGGAGGACACCCTTTATGTAATCTATTTGAGCTTTACTTTCAGCAACACATTCTGTACTTTGTGTTGCTACATTTAGAGGCCACACTCTCTGCTTTTAAATCCTAATCTTCACTTATCAGCTCTGACCTTGTGTGTGACATCAGGGAATAATCCCATGAGCTGAACAGTCAAAGGTGATTCAAGGTTTAACTGCCATGACCTTTCTCTGCAATTCAACAACAAGACACTCTTTGCTTTGGTTTCTTTTCTTTTCTTTGCCATAAGCTTACAAATTGTGAAACCGCTGATGGTATCAACAATTCAGCAATAAAATCTGTCAGATTCTGATGCCTTTTATATCACATGCTCCTCGTATATAAGTTAAGCAGCAAGGCCATCAGTCACACACCCTCCTTTAAGCTACAAAGAAAATGGTTTGGTACAAAAGAAACATGACATGTTGCACAGAGTAGAAGAATTTGTTTGCGTTGACAGGACAGGTAGCTTGCAGCAGCACCAAGTAAGGCCCTGAGTGTTGTCAACTGAATGTTGTCTCTACAAGTGCATGGAAGTTTATTACAGTTTGTGCAGAAGTTATACAAACACAAGATCTGATCTAGGGTGAAGATTTGATCCATTCAGTTACCCAGATGGATAAAGGAATTTTTAAAATCTGTCCGACTTCTGTTAACCTCCCCTTAATGCTTTCTTTTCTTTTCTTTTATGTCTTCTTCTTAATATGATTGCTTTTTGTCGTCGCTTGTATTTTTGCAGTTGTGTCGGCAGAAGGTAAAAGTAATACTCATGTAAGGTGCAGCGGCATCTGAATCTGCTTTACCCGCATTTCCATGGGTCTTCCTCAACAAGAGAGAATTCTGCAGTGTTGCCATTTTTGCCCATGGTGACCTGTAAGCAATTATCAAGAACAACTAACTGTTGTGACCAAGGCACTGTTACTGACAGACTGTCAGTGGTTGGGAGCAGAGAAACCATTGCTTCATTACATGTTGGCCATTGACCTTGGGGCTGAGTTTAGTTAGTCCCCGACAGACAAAAACACGTTGTCATGCAGTGATAGACAAGTACATTAAGTCATTTTTCCAGAGTTGGCCATGTATTTAATGGATTCTCTCCCCAACCAAATTACAATAAAGATATTCATCACTATACAGGCAATGAACGTGAATAATTTTTTTTTCTGTTGTTTGTTTAGAAATCTAGCTACAGTATAGACAGGAGGCATGAAACAGGCATTTCTTAAATGAATGCATCACTTTGGATGATTGATGATGATATGGAAAAAACAGCAGTCTTTATGTATACCACTGGCTAAAATCACTTTGAAAATATGGTTAAAAATGTAAGAACTAATAATTTGGTCAGGGCTACCATAAATACATGTCCAATTAAGTAAGCAAATGAAATAAAACAGAAAAAAATGCCACATGTACGAGACAATGAATTAGATTAGTGTTGAGCCTTTAAAATAAACTGATTCAGTTTTTATAAACAATAAGAACAATGTATGATGTAGAAGTGAACAAATTTTGATAAACCTGGTATCACAAAAACTGCTTTTTCATATGATCAACAGGTGAATAAATAAATATAAAAAAAATATTTATTTAGCTTTTCACCACTTTAAAGATGACATTTTTCAGTCAAGAATGACTTTTACTATTCACACAAACACCAATACGCCAACATAGGAAGCCACAGAGAAAAGAGTAACAGACACAAAAAGAAAGACAAACACACAGCTGGGAAGGATGCGCTACATACAGGTCTCTATGTCCGTTAACGTGAAATGTACCTTGCAGTCGTCTATCAACACTGAGTTGTGGTGAGCGTACATATTCTGGTTGGTGTTATTTTCAAAGAACGATTGTGTCTTTGCCATCTCAAAGTCGTCCATCCGGACCTGCTGGGCGTCAAAGGAGTCAAGCTCGTCTTTGGAAAGGTGGTACACGATGCCTGCTCCATAGGAGTCCCCAACCACATTAACAGACGTACGGAAACGATCCCTACATGTTAAAAAAAACAAAAAGAAAAAAGCACTAGATGAATAAAAACACCATCCATGCATGCATCCATCAATTGTCTACTGCTTATTTGGGGCCAGGTTGTGGGGACAGCAATCTAAGCAGTGACACTTATATCTCCCTCTCCCCAGCTACCTCCTTCAGTTCATCTGGGGGAACACCGAGGCATTTACAGGCCTGGGTCTACCCTGGTGCCTCCCTCGGTCCTCACCCAGGAGATGCCCAGGAGGTATCCTTGTCAGCTCAAATCACCTCAGCTGGCTCATTCTCGAGGAGTAGCAGCTCTACTCCGAGCCCCTCCTGAATGACTGAACCAGCCAGCCTTCATAGAAAGCTCATTTCCTTACTTGTATTTGTGATCTCAGTGTTTGTGACAATCCAGAGCTTGTGACCACAGGTGAAAGTTGGGACGTAGAGCAAATGATAAATCAATAGTTTTGCTTTTATGCTCAGCTCTCGCTTCACAACAATGGACTGTTACAGCAGCACCAATTAGTTTGTCAATTTTCTGCTCCTCTCTCCACCACTTGTGAACAATACTCCAAGATTCTTAAAATACTCCATTCCTTACATATAATCACTTTATTTTGTTTTTAGGGAGTTTTAAATGATGATTCATTTTATCAAGGGAAAAAAGCTAAACCTAAACCTAATTTGGCCTCTATGAAAACATAACAATTCCCCTTGCTAAATCATGAACTAAATGTGATTAACCACATTTTTGGTAAAGCAGGGTTCAGTTTCACTAGTCAAACCAAGGCCTCATTCCTGCCACTCCTGATAAATCAAGAAAGCTCATAAATAAAAGCCATGATATAAAGAAGCAACTTAGAAACAAAGTCACTGACGCCTATCAAGAGTTCCAAAGCCATCTCTAAGGCTTTGGGACTTCAGTAAACCACAGTCAGAGTCATTATCCACAAATGGAGAAGACTTGGAACAGTGCTGAAGCTTCCCAGGAGTGGCGGGCTGACCATAATTACCCCAAGAGTGCATCAACCACTCTCTCAGGAGGTCATAAAAGAACCCAGAGCAACAGCTAAAGGACTACAGTCTTCATATGCCTCAGTTAAGGACATAGTTCAAGTTGCAACAGTGAGAAAAAGGCAAAAATGCCATA